CAAAGTTGAAGCATTAATTCTCAAACTAAATGCTCAATTAGCTACGAGAATATGACAATAGCTATGAAGAATTTACTTGATTTGCTCATTAGTTCCCTTAGGCGTGGCATTATAGATAACCTCAGCAGCAGCATGAAAATCGTAAGCATCTTGAAACATTTGGAGAAGAGGTGAAATAATACCAGCCTCAATCACAGCCTGTGTATTAAGATGAGATAACCTCAGCATCCGTCATTTTAAGAGATAAACGGAAGACTTGGAACTTACAAATAGAAACAGAAGTACAAATGTCAAATTCATCAAGACAATTGCACTACTATGAGATGTTAGAGTACGGTGATCCAAATTCTATTTGCCCCAGTCCGAAAGCTTGCGGTGCTACATATTTAGTGAAACTAAAATTATGAGAAAAAAATGGGGGTCTGTGGTGATAACATAGGGATCAGAGCGAAATGTCTAATCAGTATGGACATGTTTTATTATATATACGATGTATGTTACGACTTCATCGTATCATATCATTCGGAGTAGCCACACCTCTTATAATTATCTTTGATATAGTAATTTTCTGCTCCTTTGCCCAACATTTTTCCCGTGATGGGTTTCATACAAATATTATGTTCTTGTTCTTATTCTATATATTGTCAATTCTCGCTTTTTCGTAACACGAGACACAAATTTTGAAACACAGCGAGAAAAAAATGTTCAGTCATGATGTTCAAAACAATAATTGATTGGTGGAAACTAAAAATGTTTTTACTCTAACATCATTCCTCCTCTCTCTCCAATTGGAAAAAAAATAAATAAAAAATAACAATATTGCTTATTTATCTCGAGGCATTTATTATGTATGCATAGAGTAATACCGCAAAGGCAAAAACAATTCCATTACCTGCAAATTACCCTTACTCCGTCTAATGATTTCTGAAATGATCTGACATGTGGAATCCTTGTCACAGTAATTTTCGTCTTGTGTCAAAAAGTTAAGCAGGCAAGGAAGAAGATCAATGATAACCTGGAAATCATTC